AAAGAGTATTGTTTTTCTCGGTCATCTTAATGAATATGAGAATGGTTTATTAAACACACACCCTCACACAGTAGATTGTTTTCCACCATTTGGATGTTTCTGATCCATTTCACGCCTCTAAGGCGATCAAAAACAAATTCAAAGATCATTTTGCATATATAAACATAATAGAATGAGAAAATTTATCATTTAATGAAAATAAAATTTATTGAAATCTTAAAAATAGAATTTGTTCATGAAATTTATATAATTTATGAACGGACATTCAGGAGTTGGGTTGTTTGGAGTTGTCATACACACCAACAAATTTCGAGGATGAATGTGCAAAAGTCACCAAAATTTTGCATATTCCGCATATTTTTCATGGACTATTGATCATACATATTATTCTGGAGAAGTGGACAGACATAACTTATATGGAACATACCCTGTACTTGATCAGTAAAAGTCATGCCTTTTTGGCATCATCGACACAAGTAAATCTAATATGCCATCTTGCCAGTGCAGTCCAATTTGTCTATGTTATGGTGTCAACACAAGACCCTCAAACGATCTTGCACTCCGCAAACCAATTGCGCCCCCCCCCCCCGATACGAAGTACAGGGACCAGAAGCGTAGATAGCATAATACATGTCTTAATTCATTAACACCCCCCCCCCCCCACACACACACACACACACATAACTAACTACCAAAATATAACGAGTTTCTTTTTTCTCGGAAAAAGAACTTTGAGTCATATTGAGATACACATGTACATGAAATAAAAATTCATTTTGCTAGAAAAGATTTCAATTTCAAGCTACAATTTGAGACTTTTTTAATTAAAGAGCTATCTTTCCTGCAGGCTGAGGAGCGGATATCCTTAGAGAACACTGATACACTGCAACGACAAAAGGCAGACTTCGTAGTGTAGATAGAAGTCTTACGCCAAACTGACCTTTGGAGAGAAAGTTCGAATCATATGTGAAGCTCTTATTTTTTTCTTTTCACATACCTGTAAAAAATAACTAAAAAAATTATTTATCAATAAGTTTTTTAATAAAATAAATGAATCAAATGATTGACAATACAGTTTTTAAAAATATATATATAACTTCTTTAACTTTTAGAACTAAAAAGTGTCTTTTCTCAAGGCGGGGTGGGGGGGGGGGGATTGCACCCCTCCTTTTTTATATACTTCCATGAAGTGTGATCATAACTTTCAGGCATTTTCTATGAAATCTTTACGCTTCATTTAACATTACATTCATTAATCAGTTTGGGTATGTAATGCCATGCTTTCAAATAAGGGAACGTATTCATTATGAACAAGTTTTGAAAAGATCGATATTATAATTTTTGTATGATGGTGCGTTAGCAATTTTATCTAATGTACGGTATACCAATGTACACCCTGAACTGTGTTCAATATTATACAAATGTATCCCTTGCTTGAGGTCGATCCATACATATACGGACTTCACAGAAAAGCATATCGACCGAGCTCAAAGTGCGAGGTCGATATGCTTTTCTGTGAAGTTGATATATCTGTGGATTGACCCCATGAAAGGGCTACATTTGTCATTATTTTTTTTTAACAGAGATTGCCAAAACAAAGTTTGATAATAATGGGAATAAGCCACCAGTTTTCTCTCTCGTCTTTTTTAAACACATAGAAACTAGAGATCAAAATAAATTAAGCTGTTTAATGTAATTGTGTTTCCTTTATGATGCAGAATTTTAAGTATTATTTTCATTTTTTATTGGATTTTCAGTATATCTATTAGTTTTAAATATAAAAGTAGATCCTCAATCAAGGCATTGTTACGTCTTATCAATTATTATCAATTATGAATAGATAGGAGATGAAGTTTAATATTTTTTTTCACAAACGTAAAGTCATATGAACTATTGTGAAGTCAGCACTATGAAGATATTTCCACTTTTAGAAACATCAAGTCATTGTGCGTTTCAGAATCTTTAAATAAGACAAGTCTAAATGCTGTTATATTCTTGATCATGTGATCAAGTTTGAGCCAATCAGAGAGCGTGGAATAATAGTAACAAAAATGATGGACGAAGTATTTTTTTTAAAACGTACATAGTAGGTGATATCTTTGGGAGACGCGTGCTTTGGTTTGGATATTTTTTAGCTGAATAAACAAGTCTTGAAGGGGGCATCAAAGTTCAATAAAAAACAAGATGTGTTTGTGAAACACTGATGCCCCTGTATGGCAACTTATAGCAAAGGTTAAACATTCTCATATGCAAATCAAATATGTTGCTACCCAAAGTAAGGTCTTGTCTTGAGGAATATACCTGTGAAATATGAAAGCCCAAGCAGCAACAATTGAATGGATATGGAAAAGGTTAAAGTTTTTCAAAAGTTAGTCAAACATCAAGGTCAAGAGGTCAAAATTAATGGTGCCCAAGGAAAGGCCTTCTCAAAAAAAAATACACATGTGAAATATGAAAGCCGTAGCATCAATCGTTCAAAAGTTATGGCCAAGGTTAAAGTTTTTCAAAAGTAGATCAAACTCCAAGGTCAAGGTTACAATTGCAATTACAATTACAATCCAAAGGAAGGTCTTGTCACAAGGAATAGACATATAACATATGAAAGTTATAGCACCAATTTATCAAAAGTTATGGCAAAGGTTAAGGTTTTCCAAAGGTAGGTCAAACCCCAAGGTCAAAGGGTCAAAGTTGTTGATATCCAAAGGAAGGTCTTGTCACAAGAATTACATATGCGAAGTATGAAAGCCCTAGCACCAAACGTTCAAAAGTTATGGCCAAAGTTAAAGTTTTTCAAAAACTCCAAGGTCAAGGACAAAAGGTCAAATATGATAGTACTCAAAGAAAGGTCTAGTTACAAGGAATACACATGTGAAATATGAAAGCCATAGCTCCAACCAATCAAAAGTCATGGGCAATGTTAAAGTTTTTGCGGACAAACACAGAGCTAGACAGACAGACGGACGGTAAGGGCAAAAACTATACACCTCCGAATCTTCGATACGGGGGCATAAAAATATTTTTGAAATTCGATCATAATAAAGTTATAACTTTCTGACAGGAACAGTAGGTAAATTTTGATTTCTTTACCCAGTGCCATTTTGAGATCGCCACTGTTCCTGTAGAGTAGGCTTTTCCCTTTCAAATCTTTCCCCCGGAAAACTGGCTCCAGAGTAGACCCCCCCCCCCGGGGAAAGGGCTCTAGAGTAGGATTTCCCCTACGAATATCCCACATCAGATTCAATTTTCCGGGAAGAAATCCTGTGTAATAGTTATAAAGTGCGATTTTCCCCCAGAGCCGATCCTATGTGCGAGGGGGGGGGGGCATTGTTACAAGTATCCCTTCTTTAAAATGGCGACCATGCAGTTCCATTGAAACATACGAAGTATGGAAATTGAACATATTTAAATCTCATTTTTCTCAGCGACTGTCCAATCAATCCTTTTGAAGCATTAGAATTTATTCTTTTCATCTGGTCAAACTGGTGTCTGAAAAAAAAGTACAATGTAATCGGTTGGACAAATTTTTAACTGTATCCATGGAAACAAAAAAGAACTTTTTTCTCTCCAATTGTATTTTAAAACTACCAAAGCCCATTGAGCTCATTTTTGTTGGTAAACTTTTTTCTGAACCTGGACATCAAGAGTTAAACTGTTGGCATGATTATTATGAGCAGTGAGCCTTAACTAAACTAAACTTGTGAAACTCACGGCCTCCTGTTCAAACCTCATAATGGGTCAATAAGTTGGTTGTATATTGAAAGTACATCTGTGAAAATCTTAACCCATAGACATCCAGCAAGCAAATTGTTTGCATGATTATAATGAGAAATTACTCCTTTACAAAAATGATTTAATTCATGCAGGCCCGTAGAACGCGAGGCCGCCCCCTTTTTCTGAGTATAGTACTTTTTTATAGTAAATTTTCATTTAGATGCTGCTGCCCCCCCCCCTCCCGGCCCCCAACACACACACACACACACACTGTTTCTTGCGGTAAGGTCGGGCACTGGCAAATTCCAAGAATTCAAAAAAAAAAGATGTACAAAAAGTAAGAGAAAGGTCAAACCCCCCATCCCTCCCCCATGAAATAGAATTTTCGAGTCTGGTCAGTTTAGTTTTTTTTGAGGGGGAGGGGTTCCCCCCTTTTTGAACTTTTTTTGCGGTAAGGTCGAGCACTGGCAAATTCCAGGATTTAAAAAAAAAAAAAAAGATGTACAAAAAGTAAGAGAAAGGTCAAACCCCCCATCCCTCCCCCATGAAATAGAATTTTCGAGTCTGGTCAGTTTATTATTTTTTTTTTTTGAGGGGGAGGGGTTCCCCCCTTTTTGAACTTTTTTGCGGTAAGGTCGAGCACTGGCAAATTCCAGGATTTCAAAAAAAAAAAAAAAAAAAAAAGATGTACAAAAAGTAAGAGAAAGGTCAACCCCCCCCCCATCCCTCCCCCATGAAATAGAATTTTCGAGTCTGGTCAGTTTAGTTTTTTTTTTTTTTTTTTTTTTTTTTGAGGGGGAGGGGTTCCCCCCTTTTTGAACTTTTTTGCTTATCAGATTTGTTTGGGAGGTTGCCCCACCCCCCAACACACACACACACTTTGAAAACCGACAAACCGGGTCTGTCATGTCCCCCCCCCCCCCAGCTAGTGAATAGGCCTCAAGGCGAAACTAAGTTGGTCGTGTTAAAATTTATTATACAGCGTTCCATATCATCTCCATACAGCGTTGTATATCATCTCCATACCTTAACTTCTGGAAGACCAATTTTATGAATATGAAAGTGCTTATGATTAACGAGTCTGAACCCTTAGAATTCGAGTATGAGTTTTGGGACAGGGGTTCCTGTTTGTTTCTTCTTATTTTTACTCCATTTCATGGTAGTCTCCTTTCATGATCGTACAAAAATGGTATAGAACTCGATTGAAAAATCATTGAGAAACCAAATTATAAATTCTCTTTACTGTAACATAAACCAGTGGGAATACCCATCTTTATAAGAGCAATTGTGTTATTGGGACGATTGTAAAGACATTCCGCACTGATTGCTAATTGGAAAATTTAAATAACCTTGTTGATATCATATATCAGGCCCATTGATTTCAGATCAGTAGGAATTCATTGGACACAACAAAACGGGGGCTATGTGACACCGTCCTGTTGTCAGTTCGACATAGATCGCTGATTGGAATAAGTGTTTATTTTTACATCAGATCCATTTATTTAATGAATGAGATAAGAATGATATATCAGGGCAGTCAATCGTGTCCCTTTTGCCCAGTGTTAAATTGTAGAGGTAGAGCCCGACCTCTTTTTAAAGGCTTTTGAAAAATTAGACAAAAGAAAGATGTACGTGTAGGAGAAATTGTGGAACTCTTACATACACTATGAATAGGAATTTATAGACTGTTTAAAAATCCATACAACGAAGAATTATGCGTGGAAAAGACGGATTTAAATACGTTTATCTGTGGGACATGTTTGTGCTGGTATAGGAGAAGTTTAAAAGGAAAATATGGGTCATTATTGACTTTTTTCTTTGTGAAACACTGCGCAAATGCATCAACAATTTCAGGTATATGCCCCGTTGATTCATGGAACATTTCAAATGTAGTCGTGCTTGGGTATCTGTGATCTTTTTGTGGTGAATGTAATTCTTTTGCTGGTCAAGTTCTTGAGTATGAGATATGGCGACATCGCAAAATCAGGAACCGGTCTCAAACGGATTCCAGAATGGCAATAGTCTCACAGAGCGTATGAATAAATACAAAGTAGATGATGAAAAAGATACAACAGAAAGTAATTCTTCCGGGGAACAAAGTTCGCCTCTCTTTAAGGATGAAGCAGAAAGACTGAAACATTTACAGAAGATCCGAGCTTCCCCTACCAGTTCCGCGGCTTCCAGGATTAAAAATAAGACCCGAAGTTATGAAGTTCTGAATCTTCCAAATGGAACGCCGACGTACGACAATCTTCGAGTGTAAGTATTGGGTTCATTTAAAATTATTTAAGTAGATGATTTGCTAATGAACTTGGTTCTTTGACATTTGATTTCAATGAAAGATCGGTCATTATTCGACATTTTTAAAATATATGGTACAAAGATTTTAAGATCATGTCAAATATTAAAATTAAATATTAACTTCTATCCAATAGATTCGGCATGAATACAAATAATGAAGAAGTCGACGACATTTTCAAACATTTTAAAATGTTTTGTGCCCTATTTAAGATTGTTAAGATTGTCGTCAATTTCATAAGTTTTAATATATTTTCTGAAGTCCTATAAATTATCAATTACAGGGTCCAAAGTTCAGCACCAAAGATCCCAGCAAGGGCAGCAGCATTAGGTAGGCAAAAAGTCTGATCATCATAATCTTTAAGTTGATTTATTTTTTTTTTTTAAAAGACGAAAATACATTATTTCCAAAATAAAGCTTTTATCAGTTGCTATTTTAAGAAACTTCGCAGATTATATTACATTACTCAGATGAGTTTCTTTCATTTACAGCCGATCTTCCCCCATTAGTTATTCCAAAGGACGGGAACCTTCAGAGTTTCAGTGTAGATGAAATGGCTACATTTTTTAGATACATGAGGGTTAATGAGGAAATAGTTCAGAGACTTCATCGAAAGGAAATGGATGGTAGGAAGTTCGGGAAACTCAAGGACAAAACTCTGGAAGACTTACAAATCAAAAACCCCATCCTGCTTCATTTCAGGGACAGATCGAGCAAAGATCGAATCGGTTTCATGTTATAATGCTTTTTACTGGAATGGAAGTGATTAGGACAAATCAATACGTGATATTCTCATAGTGCCTGATATTATTGCAGATATTTACATTAATAATCATAATATATCATTCATTAACAATAAAATTAAATACTGCATTAAAAAGTTCTGCTGAGGGGCGATTTTCTGCTTTACGGTGACAATATCGGAGTTCTGAGAGAGGTGAACAAAAGTTTGAATTAAATTCAATTGTATAAGAATGTCCCTTGCTCTAAATTTCTTGTATCAATATTTGTTGTATTTATGTACCCATCATTTTTGTTCTATTGGGGGAGGGGGTTATCATTTTCAATGCTCGCAGCATCTCTCGTTTATATTGGTGTGTGTGACTTGAATGTTATTTACTTTAGTTATATACTGTACCTGCAGTTTTACTTTTAAGGTCCTTCAACATACTCTGTCTATTATTTTACGTCTTTGTGTTCATATCCATTATCCATATGTTGTTCGACTTTCTTTCACAAAGAATAATTTCTGCGGGAATGTTCTTTAATAAATACCTCCGGTAAATGCATAAAATTCTAATCACACGATCATTAGCAAGAAAAGCTCTTGTCAGTACAATCTTTCCCAAAATATCATCTGCAGATCAGATTTCATCCTTTCATGTTGAATTAAAATGCTTTTTTAACAATTTTATTTCTTGTTTCAAAACAGACAACATTTCTTTGTATAGCCTTTCAAATAAAACGCAGGTTTATATGATGATGTATAGATTTTTGTCTTGTTTTGATGAAAGATAATGCATATTTCTTCAAGCGATGAATTTGTTTCACCACTGAAATTCTGAAGTGTCCATGTTTTTCTTCAATTTCTATTTGACTCCCTGTTAAATGGATTAAAATGTTAGATTTCTATATAAAGAATAGGTCTTTTAGAAATACTTAGGGTAAAAGACTGGCAAATAACTGAAACAGATTGATTCAAAAAATATCAATAATTAAGTTTTAAATTCTAGAAACATTTGTTTTTGCAAAGAGACATTAGCATTCTTTAATTCCTCAGTTATCCAAATTCTGCAAATCACGTTGTCACTTGATGTGCTCATTTTTAACACGTTGACTGTCTGAATGCCCGAGGGTAGTTTTCTCCAATGTTGGTCCTATAATCCTCGTAATCTTGAATGTGCTTCCCCCTCATTCTATAGAAGTGAAAACAAGTTTTTGTGGTGAACAATGACAAGAATGTTGAAAGATAAAGAAACAAATACTTAGTCTATTGTTCATAAATCGTTTGTGTGTTTGTGAAGTCTATCTTTTAACCAAATAATTGGAATGAGGTAAAGATAATTCCCAAATTTTCCCTCAGTTTAGTAGAAATCTGCACATTAGGGTGTAACAGAGTTCTTAAAGAATACGCACTGTAGAACAAACTCCTTTAGAAATTTAACATTCATTTTTTACGAATATCGGTCAGCCATTGTAAACTTTTGTTGCGAAACAAATCATCTGTAAATACAAAGAAATGTGAACTTTTTAAACAAGATTTATTCAAATGTTTCAGAATAAATAGGTTTAACAATTGATCTACAATTCCTTTAAATTTTTATATTAAACTGTTAAACTTAGACGCAATTTTTTAACAAATGCAAATTACACTTTCTTTGGTGCTGATATAGCTTCTCAAAATACAATTGAAAACCTCGGTACAAACTGTTGCAAGAAGCTGATTATTGAAGTATGAATTTTAACTTAATAATGTTTTATCAATTAATGAGTTGCAGAAGTTTATTTCCTTTAGGCTCTATGGAACAGAAGATTCGGACAGACATACGTGTACTACCAGAGTGTGTCCAAACTGTCTGTTTATTTCTAATGTCAAGACGGTACAGTACAGTGTACCAAGAAGAAAACTTGTTTTCCTATCCCCTTCTTTTTAGATGTGTCGATCTGCAAAGTATAAGAATCAAAATAAACAAAACAAAAAAAAAAAGAAAAAAAAAGAAAAATGGCCAAAAAAGAAAATAATTTCTCTGATGATCTTTCACGGATTGACCTGTTTCTGGCAAAGCTTCCAAAATCACATTGTGATCCCTGCCTCACAAATAAATGAAAAGAAACTCATGCAATGTTTCATGTTATAATTAAGCACAAGAGTTACTAAAACCTTGGGTCTTATAATACGTGTATTGATAGCTTTTTGTGGTTGAAGTCTATTTTACTCGCTGAACTTTTTTGTTTTATTTTAAAACTTTTACCCATTTGCCACAGTTCTCCGATGACTAAGTTGATACCCGCCTTCGCAAATCGGTGTGTCATAACAAATGTCATGAGAAGTTCCTCGAGTAAATCCAAACACAAAAGAAACCTACACTTATTAAAAACTGACCTCGTTTCTTGAATGGTTTTCAGGCCTGACTGACTGCTTTCACGCATGCTTGGGCATGAATTCAGGTTGAACGAATTTTCGTCACAATAACACGACAGTCCTATATGTATAAATAAGACCGGTAATTGAAGTAAAATGGCAGAGTATGAAAGAAGTGCACCCCATATGAACGGACACGTTAACGGAGCGATGACCAACGGACACTCGGATACAGAGACGGACAAACAGAGCGAGAGCTCTACAACATCATCAACACGTAACCTCACCAGGTAAGACAGCACACCTGCGCACGTGCAGTGGTATTTTGTTTTTCTGAGACAAAAAGGATACTTTGGTACAATGTATCTATAACTTAGTTTTACTATTTCTATACGAACCTGAAAACAAACACAAAAAATAAAATATATTTCAATCGATTTTTTGTACTAGGTGATTTGCTTTATCGCTGTATTTTATCTTTTTGTGATATAAATATTTAAACTTTCATATTTTATAAAATCTTTCATCCTACATTTTCCTATTTGGAAATTCAAATTGTTCAAAATCAGTGAAGCTGTATTAGACCAGATCGGAATCCAGCTAGACAGGTTCTATCTCTGAGGACCACTAATGGATTATTTATAGTTTTCAATACACATGCAAATATGGCTGGACGGGTATGCAGATGGTGTGTACAAAAGAAAAGGACAATATTTGTACATGGCTCTTTACTTTTTTTTTTTTTGGTTCGTAAAAAATGCACTTACTCACTGCGTTTACCCCAACAAAGAACGGATTGGATGTCGTCTGTACCTGAATGAGACACGGGTACAGTGTTAATGGCGTACAATAACACCTTATTCTACACCTGTTTTATTTCAGAAACAACCTGTCTGTCACCTTGACGTAATCAATGTCATCTAAACCCACCGACAGACGATACTAACTGATCACAAAGCTCTATCTTTTCTTCATCTTTTTCTTTTACCAAAACGCAAGAATCAGCTAAATAAGTAGTAAAATTCGCCACATTGAAAAGGGGAGATATATTTCCTCTGTCAGTGTCTGTGGTTCATCGTTCATTGTCTTGTCCAATGAATCTCTCGTTAAACATTTTTTAAACTAAAAATGTCTTAAGCTAAAGAATTTCAACGTTAAAATAAACACAGCTCATTCCATTTCCTAAGAAATCAAATCTTTCTAATTTTCGAGGATACTCTATTTAAAATTTACTCAACTCTTGTACTGTTTAACATTTCTCACGCTTTCATTGCCAAAAATTCTCCTCCAGACACCCACTTGATTACTTTTAAGTCATAAAGCTACTTTAAATTAATCAAGTTATACCGAACAATAACTTTTTTAAAAGCATTTAAAAATGTTAAGATTAATGCAGTCTACTACAGGACCCTTTATCTAACCATATGGATTGGTTACTTTTCATTTTACTGTGTAACCAACCGTTGACTTCATTATTTCAATCATTTGTAATTTAGTTTGTCCCTTTATGTTTGTCAGTGTTCATATCATTGCCTTCGGACCTAGAATTAGACCATAGTATTGGAGATCTTGAAGTTGCACCTATTTTTTTCAGGAACACGGTATCATTTTAATAAGTAATATGCAAGCATATCCTAGTGCAGTTTTATGTTCTTGAAAACCTTCCGGGGGAGGGGGGGGTAGGTAACGCAGGGTTAAAATGTGATTATTTGAAGGCGTGATGTTTTGGAAATCCCAGAATAAAGTACCCACACAATTTGGACACCATTGATTACTAGATTAAAGATAACGAAGATTGTAAAGTCATGTTTATTGTTTAACTTTATTGTGAAACAAATAGATAGGTGCAGTAGATTGTCGTACGTTTACCACGATAATGCCTCCCTCACTAATTATTCGCCACTATGTAATTAAGGAATGTCATTTAACTTATGCATACCACCTGTCTTTTATTTTCCTTTTTGGTTTTGTTATTGTTAGAATTACTCGTGAATGAACGCATAACGACACAACCCACAGGAATTGGATTTCGAAGGCGTAATTCAAAAGCCATACTGTAAAAATTCAAGAGTTAAGATAAATAGACGATAGCCAAAGGATGTTTGTTTACAAATAGCTTTAAAACTTGTATGAAACGGTGTGCTTTTGACATGCTGTACTTGCAATTAGCATAAATGATTGATAGAAATCCTTTTTAAGCGAAGTTAAGAAAATGAAACATTTACATTTATAACAAGCAGATAATAAGTTGATATTTCCCAGGGATTTATCAGCCTATTTTGGGAAACACCATTTTTGGGGAATTGGGAAAAAATTATCGGCTTTTTGATGAAATTGGGAAAAATTAAAAATGTTGCTTAAATCATGTATTCAGGCGTAATTCATTTAACATTTCAGCATGAACTCTAATTTGGGCAGCCAAACAGACAATTATATATATGATCCAACTTCATACAAGATCAATTATGAATAACAGACTAATAAAAGTAAAATTGACTTCATTGAGTATGAAGTGTTTATACAACTTAGGGTAGTACATGTGTGTATGAGATTCCAATTTAGGTCATTACAGAATCTGTTTCTGGAAAATATAAACCTCCTGCAAGTGTATATTTTCTCAAAGTCCTCTTTTAATATGTATTAATGCATTGAAAATATATTTTTCTATTTGAAATAATGCCTACAGTCCTTACCATTCATTCGTAGATCAATTGAGTATGTAGAAATAACTTAATCAATCTATATAATTACACAATATCACCATTTTCAGAAAAACGGAGGAAATTCGGATTAAAAGTTGGCGATGTTTTTACAGTGTTTTTCAGAAATTTTCTTTAAAAATGGCTCCAAATGGTGCATTTTCCAGCATTTTAGATTGAATTAGTTTTTGGCCACTTTTTTCCTAGTTGTTTTTCAAGACCGACCTACCCAAATTTTCAAGAAATTGAACAAAAAATTAGAATTTTAGGATTATTTTTAACTTCCATATTAACTTGGAAAATGAGACTTTTCTAAAGAAAAAATTAAATGTAAAATCTGACAAAATTAGAAATATCGCCATTTGCTATATAATAGGGTATCCAATTCTTCATTTTAAAATGCACGTCCAACACAGTGTCGCATGTGAAGCTTTGCCTACCAAAATACAACTGCATGATGTGCAATTTTCCAACACTTAGAATATTCGAATTCTGTGTAGAAACCCTAATTACTCTTTTCAACTACTTGACTATACTGTTCATATAATTTTTAATATAAACACATAATGATATTTCATATTGAAGAATAAATATAAATTATTTTGGAAATAATTGGAATTATTGCTTATTCATTGGGGGGGGGGGGAATTATAATTTCTAACATAAATGCACTCTTTAATTCTATTTTTTTTTACCCACTTACCTGCCCTGAATTTGAAAAAAATCCTTGAAAAACAATCAATAAAAAAGTGGCCAATTCTTGTTTTGACAGAACCTCTAATTTATACGTATTAGTTTTACCACAATTCATTATACAAAGTTGTAACCGTTAGTTGGGTTTTATTCAACAACATTCAACTGTAATTTAAAAAAAATGCAGATCTTTTGCTTTTTAAAATTGCATTGTAACTTCCTTCTACAAAAGGAATACTTTCAATGTGCTTTTTGGTACAGGTCACAACGTATTTCAACTAGTATACATCCCTGATGTATTAATTCATCCCTGATGTATTAATTAATTTTTTCTTCTATTAAATAATAATCACAGTTTATTCATGTAGTTCAATAAAGAAAATAACATTCAATTATCGAAGAAAGAAGAAAATTCTCCAAACAATATTAATTTAGCCAAAACAAAACCGTAATAACTATGTGCAGTTTTGGTTGTTAGTGTATGATGTTGCGTCATCACTAGCTGCACGGACTATCATGATCTCTGCATGTACAGTACTGTTGATTACCTGTATATTGTGTGCGCTCAAGCGGAAAGGGATTTCGCATGGTGACTGTTTATTTCACCTCTTTGTATAAAACAATGGGCTTGGATAGAGTCGCATTTATGCAATATATTGTTAAAATGACACTTGTAAAAAAAATTTTTTTTGATCGGGCGGGGGGGTTTTCCCGAACCCCCCCAAAACCCCCTGAATCCGCCACTGTTTTTAAACGTGTTATGACTGTAGTTTTGCTAAATGACTTAAATAGATGAAAATTACAGACAATCTGACAATTTTCCTTGTGTTTTTCCAAGATAATTAAATATAAAAGCATTGTTCACCAATTGGGAAAAAACACTGCCAAATTGGGAAAAACTGAACTCATTTTCAATTGGGAATGGGGCCGTATTTCGGCCCCTGAGAAGGTACTGATAAATCCCTGTTTCCTCTTTTTATGTTTTGCATTGAGTACAAGTATATGTTAGATTAATTATTCTTAAATGTTTGCAGTAGAGATCTACCTCCAGTTCCAAAAATAGAAAACCCGCCCCCGCTCCCCAAGGATCCTCCTCGAACAGAAAAGCTACCACCTAGAATACGAACTAGCAGACCACCTACCAACAGTAAGTGCCATAGCAATTGTGTAATTTTCGTTTCTTGCCCCGGATTTTGATCCAATTTGTTTGCGATGATGGGTGTGCGTACACGAGTCTTTCGTCTCAAGAAGCAGTTTAGATCGATCTGTAGAAACATTTTTATCTCAAGAAAACACACACGAAATTTTACCAAATAGTTTTGAAATATCTTAACATTGAATTTCTTTAAAACATAACTCATAGAATTTAAATTTGATCCACTAATTGTGGAGATCCTTTACATTTCTTTTTAACTTTTACCAATATACAGCTAGAAATGTTTGCTATATTTAACATATACTGGTAAAGGGAAAGGGTGGACTAAGTTTTCAGAACTTTTGCCAGATCCCAGTTCCATATGTTGTAGGAAAAATTTGTTCAAACCAAGCAAACGTACATAATACTAAATCCAAATTTATTTTCCTCGTTTTTTATTACAGACATATATTTTACTGACAATATGTCGAAGGGATTGGACATAAGTTCCAAAAAACTTTGGTAGTCTTCTCCCCATATATACAATCTGAATAACCATACAACATTTACAAAGATTTATAATGATATACATATGTATACAGTGTACATTAAAAAAAATCATTTTATAGTTACTGAATATCAATTAATGGGTGCATTACATTAGTGCCACTTTTTTCAAAATAGTCATTACCGCTACATACTTATTACCGCTACAAAATACTAGTAGTTTGTTTACATTACCGCTACATTTATAAGTATGCATTACCGCTACAATGCTTAGAACTGTTAGCCAGTGCTTAATGCAGATACAGATACAACGCATACATGCATTAAGACCCGTTTCCCCTTCTCACCACGGGGAGGTCAAAACAGGATCTTGAACAGGGGGGGTTTATTAAATTAATTATTTTTAAAGCCTTAGCCATTTTGTAAAAGACACATTTTTTGGTGTTTCATCTCCATATAGAATTTTTTAACGTCCCATAGTATTTCGACTACAGGCTGAACGAATTACAACTTTAATTGTTTTTTTGTTTTGTTTTTTTTTTTACTGCATTGTAAATGAATTATTATAGAATAGAACTTATATTAAATGTACCATCGCTGGCAGATTCGAGTATGTACTATGTAGTGGTAATGAATTGTAGTCGAAAATCGTCTTCTTGATAAGATATGATAACGGTAATGAGCACCCGAAATTTAGATGAAGAATTTGAATTTTTTCCAATGTAGCGGTTATGTTGAATCATTAATGATAGTGATGATTATAATGACAATGCTAATAGTTTCAAAAGAGGTAATGACAAATTAATATAACATAAAACAAATGCATACCTAAGCTGTTTATAATTTAAATTGATCTTATTAGATACTATATATGAAGAATACTTTTTTTCAGCGGTGACAAAATTTATCCCCGAAAATGAAATAACGATACCAAAAGACGGAAACCTGTCGTCCTTTAATACAGAAGATATGGTGACCTTCTTCCGCCACATGGGGGTCGAGGACAGAATTGTGAATCATTTACAGAGAAAGGGACTCACTGGGAAAAAATTCTCCTCCCTTAAAGACGCTGACTTGGAAACAATTGGAATCAAGAACCCGATTGTGTCATATTTCAGGGACAGGAGCAAACCCAGCAAAAAGAATGTACCTTTTATACTATAAAAGAAAATTGTCAAGTCAATGAATATCCTTGTATAATATCGGCACTAGAGAAATATGAAGAAGTGGGTACGGCATCCTAACTTATGGTGCTTTCTTTAATTCATGACGAAAAATCTTCATTACATCAGAAGATTCACAGTGATATGATATTAACATATTCCAGGATGTGCAATTCCAGATGGTATGCAATACGTTATTAGGATATATAGTAACAAATGCTGTCTTTTGAAATCTACAGACAATATTGTGTAAATTCTATATTTTGGTGATGTCCATATTTTTGTAATGTCCATTGATGTTATGTGCCAAAGATTTGTATATAAACGAAATTCTTTTCATGACAGGAAAGGGACAGTTAAAGCATAAATATACTCATTATATACATGTAGACAGTAGGCACAAAATATAGAAATGTTTTACAACAATAAGCAAGGGATTTAAGTCTTTTTAACCATGTAATTAATTGGCTGAGTTGTACTATATTCTGAATGGTGTGGAATTAACAAGATTTAATTAATTCCTTGATTACATTATAATACGACACAGAACTTCCATGTCTATAGCCTTTTAACTACATGAATAACTTATGCAGCTGTACATTTTTCAGAAAAATAAATGGGACTAGTTTAATTTCTACACTGGTGTCAATATTACAAAAAAATAAGGAATTTCTATCGAACTAATGTCCTTCCAATACCCAGGATGCATCTGGTAAACGTTTCCTGTGCGAAATCCGGCTGTGATACCTCAACTATACAATAGCGTTATGAAAGAAAGTGATGTGATTCTTGTTAAATATACTTATATATAAATTTGCTCATTGTTTACATGTATGATTATGTATACATTCTTTTGTATCTTATATAACCACGTGATGTATTCTCATTATATAATTATTTTATTTAAAAAATAAACGACAAACAATGCAGAATTGGGTTTTGAATCCTGTCTTGGTTCTGTAAGACTTGACTTGGTACTACAGCTGAATCAGTTGCAGTAGGCCGGTACGGCACGTCAGAGTGTCAGCCTTCCTGCTTGTTTGATCAGGGACCCAGGTCTAAACTCGTAAACTTCTCGACTCTGTGTCACCTAGCTGCAATAATGTAGCCCTCTCCGGTTTTTTTTTTTTTAAACCGGATATTTTCAGGAGAGGGCTACAATTCCACTGCATCTCCGTAATGGTGCAAATATATTTTTTAGATACGGGCGACTGCAGGCAAAATAAATGTTTTTGCATTCAACTTACTTCCAATGAGACGAAATTTTTATTCACTATCAACATCATAGCCCTTTATACGCGAAAACCAAGTAAAATAAATCTGCGTGTTTACTAGTCGTTCTCCTGAGCAGCCATGACAGTTCTCGCGTGATGTAATGAGACTTGCGCTTGAAATTTAGAAATACTTGATAAAGTAAATGTCGGTATTGATAAATGTTTGTGTTGTGTGACATCACTAAACATCGATAAATAAAAGCATTCCATGGGATATTTTTTTTTCATAAACAGTGATATTTATGCTTAAAATAAGGGAAATCCTAAACGATCCACTCCCCTAGATCCCGTACATAGTACATAAACGTTGACAATTTAAAGTTGCAGGTGTAAAACACTGAAGATATGGAAACATTTATTTCTAGTCGGTATTAGTAGATTTTATCTTCAATTTTTGAGGATTTCCCATCGAGGTGCAAAAGTCTGTCGAAGTTGCCAACCTTGTTCTCTTTTAGTATTTTCATAAAAGGTTAGTTTTAGGTTATATTACGAATTTTCAATTGTAAATTACAATACTTTGTGAATGTATGATAGAAAAATATTTTATATATAAAAAAAAAAGTCGAAGAACGATTGGGGTACGGAACTCGGAAGGGGGGGGTCTTGTCCCCAAGCACCTGTGTTTCGAATGAGATAATGAATGTATCTTCAAATGCTTTCGTCCAACCTCTTCCTTTTTTAAGAAGTCTGAATGCATCGGTCGGTAAAATTATTACAACACCCTAGCTCTATTTTAATGACTAAATGCACTGTTCAAGGCTGAAAAAAAAAAAACACGTGGAATTTATGGAAATACGAGTATTTTATATACGTATAGTATATTATTACATATATATGTGTATATTATTAGTATTTTATATACGTATAGGAATACGTATAGTTTATAATATTGTAAGTCTTGCCTTAACGTGTGGACATGAGAGCCGTAGGGTCTGCAAATACGTAAAGTTTTAGACTTGTACATGTATAAGGCAACCTTACCGTATGTACCGGCCCAACTTAAAGAATTTCAACAATGGCTCAATGGCTTTTCTACTTATCACTACATTATTATATATTACTGGTATTTCAAAACTATTTTTCAACAGCACTTACAATGTAATTTATCAAGACAGAAAATATGCAAGTCCGTACTCTTTCCTGATGGAAATACAGGCCCGTAGGAAGCAAATTCAGTGGGGGGGGGGGGGGGGGCACAGCCATACATTTTCAGTTGACAGTTGAGGGGGCACTACCAAAAATTTCCTGACAAGCAAAAAAAAGTCATTTTTTATTGAGGGGGCACAAGCATATAGTATCTATGTTTACTATAGTAATCTATATATCGGCAAAATTAGGGGGGCACCCCCCCCCGTGCCCCCCGATTCCTACGGCCATGAAATACACGTCATTAAATCCCTGCCAGAGAAGGGAAAGGTGTATAATGTAAATAAATTAAATCAATGAAAAGGAAAGGGATTGGATTATCTCAGCTGGACACCCCTACCACAGAAACTGAAAAGTGGTACACCGGATTTTAAAAAAGTTTGAGTTATGACCAGTCACGTACGTTGACTGAACAACGTAAATACTAATTCCAACTTTTGAAACTGAATTTTTGGCGCCTTTTATCCAGGAGCTAGATTTGCTATCGTGTTTGATGCATGACTGGTGACATGTCGCCTGTTGTCACTTCATAGTTAACGATGGATATTGAAACATATCGTCAAACCGGATACATTACAAAACAGGTCAAGCAAAGCTTGTCATGGATACCCCGCGACCATGTTCAAAAGAAGAATTCAGAGTGAAAAACTTTCTTCTGGATTATGATCATCCGCGTGATTTTGTCAAGTTTCAGGTAAGAAACATACAAAATCAGCTGTGTTCACCAGTCTGATTTATAAGTTCATGGGTCAATACTTTGTTTACTATAAAGAAAGAGACACTGATTGCAGAGAAATGTAGTTTTCTGTCTAAACGAGAATGCGTTCATTATTTATCGAGTGAAGGTAAATACAGAATTTAATACATAATAAGCTATCCTGTAAATTTTATATATACTCCACCTAGCAAATTAAAAGTTCACACTTAATAATATCGATGTCTGATTACTGATGCATGAGGTAACTCCGAAACCAGATTAGCAATTCTAAGGTTTAAGAAAAGCAAATCAGCCTATGGTTATACAACATCAACAATAAGAGATCTTGAGTGATCGCTAGGATTTTTTTTCGCTTGAGGATACTCTTTCCATTTAAATATATTAGTATATAGTTATAGAGATGAAGGATGATGTTTTCTCTGTGGAAACTATACATTCAGTTCAGGATAAGGGAAATTTATTCCGGAAGTAGACACTTTTGTTCCTATCTTTCGCTCGTATGTAATAGTTGGGTCTGTTCATCCGTTTGTTTCTTTTTTAAACAGTTTTGTTTCCAGACAATATCAGAAGAAAATCCTTTATCTTTTTATCGTAACTCCTTATGACTTAAAGAAGACCCCTATTGATTTTGAGGCCAAGGGTCAGAGGGCAAGCCTGAAGGTCAGAAATTCATATATAGCATAAAATAGTTTCCAGATTATGGCAGGTAATGACTTAAGTTCTCTATTCAACAAAAGCTTTTTGCAATGAAAATTTTATATCTTAACTTCCTATATGATTTTAGAAAATTTCTAAGGTCAAAAGCCATGGTCGGAAAATCGTACTTTGCATAAAATGCTTTCCAGATGCTAATGGAGCTTTTGCATTGAAAAAGGATGATTACTCTCTCAGCTTAAGAGAGACCGGAGTGACCCCTATTGATTTTAAGGCCAAAGTGTGAAAGGTCAAAGTCACAAAGTTGTATATGGCAGGAAATTGTTTCCAGATTCATTACAATACTTTCTGTAACCAAAACATGACCCCTGTAGATTTTGAGGGAAAAGGGTCAAGGTCACAAACTTGTATATTGTTACAGACTGTTTTCAAGTTATATCACAACTTCTGTCCTTAAGTTGAGGACATAAATTTCTTGAATTGCCTTGTATTAATACTCAGTAGCACCAATATCAGCAAGGAAAAAAAACATACAAACGTTAAAAGTTTGGTGTTAGAACATCTGAGCTGAGGGCTCCATAAGGTTCTTCATAACATTTTCACGATTTCAGTCAATTTGTCAAATTAATAGCCAAATATTACCTGTATTTAAGCCAATATTGTCAGCGAATTTTTCAAATTCCACCATTAAAACAGCAACACCATTTTGATGTTATATGTATATGTATCTACATGTTTATTTTAAAATTGGACAGAAGTAATATATTTTACCATTTCTATATCTAAGCACTGTGAGACAATACTACCTTATCTTCTGTGGCGACTGTTCTGGGCTGTATACCACTTTGTCTGTATCATACTGACCGGGGTCTATAGCTGGCAGTGGGCAGGCGATGACCCTCAACAACAGGTCAAATGGTTCATCTACCTTACAGACTGGTGCTATTTTGTCCTCACCGTCTCGACGCTTGTGGATGCAGCCTGCGTCATTTACGTTTACTTTTGCCGAGTGGACATTAAAAATGGTTTAGAATATAATACAACCTCCTTTAAATTGATTTACATGTACATTGTTCTTATGAAGACATTTTGAGTTTTTCTTGTGATATAGTTAAGTGCTCATAAAAATTTTGGCCCACTCCACACATACTGAAATTAGTTCTTTTTTAATTCTGTTGCTATCAGGTATTTCAAATGGCATGACATGGTACTTAAAGACGAACTGGGTTATCTTCAACTTCGCAAACTCTGCTGCTATTGTTGTGACATTAATGTACTGGGGACTTGTCTACAGTGGTAAGAACCTCCTTTCTAGATCAGCCCTCGTTTGCGAGTCTTTCCTGTATATGTGCTCCTTGTGATATAAAGAAAAATGTAAAAACAACAAGAAAATGCATTCTAATTATGGTCATTCAAAAATTATAGGTATATTTTTGAATATGTAAGTCTGAAATATTTTTTGTAATTTCTCGTTCTCATCGGGAAAAATTCCCCGTGTGCATATCGCCAGCATTAGATGTCGATAACTTGCCTTTTTTCGATTTACTACTGCCCTCTCTACATAAAGTGAAATTTTTGAAAGATTCTTACAGATGATCATCTATTTTTATTTTTGCAGGAGGATCGGTGACTGTCATAGACACATTAACACACGGAGTGAACGCGGTCTACGTTCTTGTCAACGTCAGCGTCTCGGCCATTCCGATCCGAATCTATCATTTCTTCCACGGTGTGGTATTCGGAGTAACGTATGTCATTTTCACTGTGATATACTATGCAGCTGGAGGGACTAATCACCAGAATAAATCTTACATTTACTCTGTGTTGGATTGGGATGATCCGGGCATTACTCTAGCGTACTGTGCAGCAGTTGGACTTGTTGCCATGCCCCTTTGCCATCTTATGATTTACGGCATTTACGCTTTAAGGCGATGTCCATGTAGAAAAAACAAAGAGACTTCACAACCAGTCTAAACATTTTTAACAAATTAGAAAAAATTCTAGTTAAGGAAGCTCTAAACACTGCACACTAAAAAGTTCTATTTGTAGGGTAGTTTTATTGAGTTAGAGTGATCTGCCCTTAAAAGAAAATTAGAATAAATGGGAAACTACAGTTAATGACACAATTTCTTATGAATTAAAGTATTCTTAATGTTATGTTAGACCAAGATTAAGTAATTGAATACATTATTTCCATTAATTTTCCCGATGCAAGTAAACAGCAGTGATTTCTGTTCAAAAATAGTTCATTGTCTTTGAACATTTTTTCTGCAGAAATAAGGCAGGCACCCTATGTTGAAAATGAACTAGATATACTGAATATATGAGCACCTTTATATGATATATTTTTCTCGAAGTCCAAAAAGCATTTTTCATTAGTGTTTAGAGTTTCCTTAAGGAGAATCAGGTTCTTGATATACTAGTATTCAATTAGATAGATTTCCTTCGTAACACTGCTTTGCCTCAAAATGAATTTTATTGACAAGCCAACAATCAAATCATCAGACGATATTTTTGATCAGACACAACCGTAAATAAGCATGTTTTCTGTCTTATATATGGTAAATGTTGACAAAATACATTGTAATTGGGGGTAGGGGTACGAACCCCTGTGCTCCCTTCCAGTTACTCAGGGCTTATGGTATGCATTGGCTTTTATTTCAAGTGGATCACCATTTTCTGTCAGAAATATACAGTGTATTATACTGGGTATTGGTATCCCCTCTTTTAAATGAAATCGCAACCCAGGAATCAAGTACTATATTAATTGCAACCAGACTGAATTAATTTTATTAACCTTTTAAGGGTATCGTTCTAAAAATATATGAATACAATGACAGTTAATGCAATGAAAGACAATTCAAAATAAAGTTTACTTTTGTATTATTCATGTCTTATTTCTTAAAATTATAGCCATATTACATTTGTTACATGTTTAATGAAACAAATAAATAGTTTCATGATGTTCAACAATACGTTACTTTTCATTATGCACCAAAATATTTATAAATATCAATAATTATGATAGGCCTACATATTGACACAAAAATAAAATGTATACAATACACATTTATTGAGTGGGGTCGAGGGCAAATGCGTTTTGTCGGGCCCAAGAACCAAACTGTTTGACTGAGGCCAATAGTTAAAAATATTGAGTAAAGGATGACTGCACTTAACGCCTATTTTTGGGTCTTTTTCGGTTGCTTCTGTTGCTTTTATATCTAAACTTTATTTCACTTTTGTATGTTTATGAAAGAATCCTGTCAATTTGGAACCAAATTTAAATCTTAAAATGATTGTAGACTGTGATACAATAAAATGATTCAATGTTTTTTGTCCTTACTGCTTTCCAAATATAGTGACTTTACACTTACCTGCCCTTGATTGAACATTAGATATGCATGAGAGGTGGAGCTAACATTGTAAGAATGGCTCTAAAATTAGACTTGATAAATAACAATGACATGTTTGGAAAAAAGAACGTGATCACTCTTTCCAATCTCCCTCTCCATTCTGTATGGCACAAATACACTTCTGACAAAAGCTTCAAAACAAAATTAACAATATGAGCATGTCAATGTAATTAAAGCAGATTATATCTCAATGCCAGATGATTTAATGTGTTCGAACACAATGTCCTAGTTGGCACAAACATGCTACCTTACAAGTCACGTGACGGAATTTAGTATTCACAAAGTTACCTGAGGTAAGAAATCACGTGGAGAATTATAATATTCAACATGTCAGAATCCAGAATCAACACAGAGAGCGAATGTAAGAAGAAGCAGTTTTTTTCTCTTTTTAACCATGAGCGCATGTTTGTCTATTAATCTCCTTTTGACATATTATTATTTATGCAAATATACAACTACTGTTAAAACGTAGAACAATAGACAAACATGCGCTGACTATGTATAAAGTCAGTAAAAAAGTGGGCGTCCTCATTATCGAACGGAGATTCAAGAAATTGTGATGACCCCTGCCTTTGAAAACAGATTCGAACTTCGTAAATACACACTTTTATTAAACGTAATTACATAAAGTTGTAGATTGGATGTTGACCATTCTTGCAATGAAAAGAAAAATTCATGTTTTGAAAGTTTATTTTGTCGCAAATTTCGTATGTCCTTAAGTGCAGTCATCCTTTGGTCAGGAATGAGATTCATGTGTACAACTTTGGGGTTAAGATTAATGAAATTCCAGTAAAAAACGATTATGGTACAATACGGAATTCTGAATATTAAGTAGTGCGAAATTCACTTGTACTGGTATCGTAGGACGTGTATAGGACACCTAACTGGATTGTAACAAAGTTCTATTACAATTATTTTTTTAAATAACTCTTGCATTTTTTGTATCTTAGATTTAATATACTCAGAGTGAATAATATCTCATTCAATTAATAATAAACTTTTGCCAGACATGGCACCTATTTATAACCCCGCCCCTTCAATGAAACAAGATTATTTTCCATTATGCGTGATTAAAGGCAAGTAAAACACCATTGATTTTAATCTTACTCCATGTGGGAGAAAACAAGATAAGTTGTGACCTTGACTGGAAATGACATGTTAGGGCTAAATTACACATTCCAGGTGTACGCTTATCGCCCCAGGTATATACTGTCAGAGTAAAAACAAAAATGGCGGCATCCGAAGAACAAATGATGTCGTCTGGGGTTGTTGTGTTACAGGAATTCGTGGAGATGTTTCAGCTTCCAAAAATTAGTCAGGTAGTGGGTGGACAAGGGTTAAAAGATGCCCCGTTCGGTGTGGGAGAGGCGCTAATGTTGAGGACGCTGGCAGTGGAAAGTGTGGGCTTCAGATTTTATGATGCGGATGCAGGCTCACGGCGCGAGGTCAGAGTGCCCGTTGACAACAACTTCAAATTTCATGTTGTGCAGGACTACAATTCACCTACTCCAAAGGTTTATCCGACTGTAGCAGATTTGTTGGAAGACTGTCCGACAGTTTTCAGGGCGAATACGGAAGTTATGACCAAAAATGGTAGAACATTGCAATGTGGGAGTGTATTGAAATTTGTTCGGAAAATACGGTCCATTATCGATAGAAGTCTTTGTTTAGAGTGTAAAGATTCTGCTGGAACAAATCATAGTTTACCATTGACTTCTCAAGGAAACTTTACGGTTACACACGACCCATCATCATACACTCTACAAGATATTATCTCTCTAGGTGCAGTGGAAAGAACTTTAAGACTTTCTAATGAAAATAAGAAATTTGCTGTCGTCCGGGACAGTCGTAGTACTGAAAATGACGTCACGAGTCATTTACCGGTTTACGACAATGTTCAGACCAAAGATGCTGCACTGTCACGAATAACCGGTCTACCTCTTACATTCAAAGGCAATATTTACATGCAGCGGCCGGAGCTATTTCTTCTTGCCTCTCCCGCCGATGATTTCGAAGTGAGATGGAAAATTGCATTAGATTCAGGACTACATTTCACAATTCCTGAAGAGGAGAAAAATGTTGACTACGAAGAACCAATCAAACCAGAATTAGTGCTAAAACAATTTGTTGAAGAATTTGAACAAGATTTTCCTGTAATAGCAAGAGTTGGCAGATGTGATCATCTACACGAAAAATTTCAAAATTATTTGACAGAAAACTTAGAGGTGCTTGTTCACCGAGTTGACAAGGTTGAGAAATTATTGTGTAGTATTTCTGATGAAAAATTTTGCATTAGTGAAAGAGTTAAAGGCAGATTGCGGAAGTCTTTGACGCGGTTTCAGTCACTGTCAGAGCTGATGTCAATGGATTTGACAGAGGAGGAAGTCAAGATAAAAATGATGGAGGACATAGCAGCCGACGTACCTGTGCATTTCTCTCTAAAAGCAGGTGATATTATCATCTTTAAGAATTTCCATGTCTTCACAGTGAACGTAAAACTTGGAAAAAAGTCGTACGGGAAATTTGAAGTTGTTTCTTGTGAAAAAATTCTTGAAGATGAAACAAAACAAAAACTGCAGCTACCGTTGGATCTTGAAGCAGATTTCATTAAGCTTCCAAAACTTGGTGAAGAATCTGGATTTGACATTAATATGGTTTTCTCGAAATCTATCAATTTACCATTAACTGTTGATTTTATTCCCACGTGTAATACAGAAAAGTGCTTTCTACCAACCGATCAAGATATGACGATAGAAAACTTGGTAATCGATTCTGTCGCGGTCATTTCACCAATGCCTCGTAGAGAAAACGGGCGGGAATCTGCGCTTAGCGCGCGATTAAAATTCTGTCTTTTGCTTCCACTGAGAAGTGACATAAATCTAAGATTAGAGGAGAGGTTGCAATTTCCACCAAATTATTTTATATTCCCAAGAAGACACACATGGATAGAAGAGGACGTTGAAAAACTGTCGGAGGGTGAATACGGGTTTTTGACAAAATATAACGATAGTGCGTATGAGGACTATTCATTTCGACAAGCTTTTTCTGAATGTGATCTCAAAGGCTATAATGATTCACAATCGTAAGTACCCAGTAATATAAAGCTAATATATGACAGATGATTTCAAGTTCAACTCTTGTTCACTTTTGAATTGCATGCTTCTAATGTATTTCCAGTGAAAAATCGACAAAGAAAAGTAGTAAAAAATTAAAGAAAAAAGTTCGCTCTGCAACAGAGCTCCAACTAGACAAGATTGACCTTGATAAAGTGACCTCTCAAGGTCGATCGAGAACTGGAAGTGAGAGTGATCTCGTTACACATGCTGTCAGACAGGATATTGATGGTAGGATTTTGATCAAAAATTGAATATTTATAAATTGTTTGCGAATTTTTACAGAACTATCTAACTTAATTAAAAATCACCCCAAGGGAAAACTAAATGTGCTTCATTTTAACTTCTGAACTTTAGGTTTAACTATTAAATATTACCATTTGCAGATGAAAACATATACGAGACATTTGAACCTGGTAAAAGGAGAAAGGAGCGGAGAAAATCAGGTTTGGAAATTAAGTCCTCAAACTGAAAACATTGATGATAATAGAACTTTAGTGTAATGCTTAAATATTTCCTGTATTAAGTATGGTACGGGCCATTAATTTTTCATCTGTGGTATACTTTACATAACAGTAATAAATCCATAATTATCCTTCAATGTATGCACCAGTTGCATGGTTGCTGCATATATCAGGTGATGTGTATCCACATAATTTGAAGCAGGATTTGTCTATTAATACCAGCTAACTGCTTAGCACAATAGGTACATGTATCCCCACCAAACTTGAATGCTTTCCGAGAAGTATGCTTGTTAAGCTCATTGACAAACATGCTCCAGTCATTGACTGTTTAAGCATAGCATTCCCAACATCAGACTCGATGGGCATTTTTAAAAATCTGTATCTGACAGTATACTCCATATAGCAAGGCCTAGATTCATGTTTATCTTAACAAAAATTTTAAGAAATATTTTATGCTCTTTTTAGTCAAACCTCATTATATTGTAAGGATGGAACCAAGAAAAACTTTCAAGACATTCAGTATTCCCAATACTGAGGTTAAAATTCATAAATGTAGTTAGGACTTCCAACTAACTTTGAGATATCCATGGTATTTAAGATAACGAAGTTCAACTTTATATTTTTTTTTTCAGAAACATCACTCAAAAGTCGGATCAAGAGAAGAGTGTCAAAAATCTTCTAACAAGCTAGTCTTGAAGGCTCCAAATAAAATATTTATTTCTATTTACTCATTGATTCCAGAAGTCTGGCATATTTGTGGAATTATTTTGATGTACCAACTCACAAAAATAAAAACAACCGAAACAAATTAGTTAATTTATTGGATTTATGTTTATAAAACAGTCTTTTCCCTCATATAACACAACTTCACTTCTAGTTTTCCTCCTGCAAAAAAAAAAAAAAAAAAAAAAAAAAAAAAATTGAAAAATTAATATATTTCCCCAATGCAAAATCATCTATACTAAATAAAACATACAATTTTTAACACTTTTGAACTATTGCTTAAAAATTTTTTTGATTAAAAAAGAAAGAACAATAAATTTGTATATTTGTCTTCTATCTACAGAGAAATTGAAGTATTGTCCTCAAACAGTTGTACATTACTATTCACATACAATTCAAAAGAACTCGGATCAACTATAGAGTTTCACTTACTTTGAAATCATTCATCTGACCATGTAACTGTGCCATCTGGAGTAACTATGGTAAATGCTCCATCTTTGATGAGCTTTTGTTCTAGTTCATAGGGGTCTGTTTTGCTGAAAGATTTATAAAGAAGTTGTTATAAAACCAACATATGTAATCATGAGCTCCTCAAATGACTTTTTGATGAGATCTTCAATAGAAAATAACTAAAAGTGTGTATACAAAGTGTACAGATTGTTTAAGAATAGTGCAATTTTAAACAAGAAGCTAATGAGCCTTGACAGTCACCTGAGTATCCCAAGTTTTTATGACCAGTTTGGACACACCTGGAATTGATTTGGACTTGCATCACAAAAATTTCACAGTCTGGTGAGGACTTTATCAGTATTATTTTCATGACCCTGTAATCATTATTTTATATTCATGCACATTGCACCTAATCTCCTAGAAGTTCAAAAGAAGAAAAAGGTACACTGAATGATAAAATTCCAATATCCTAGCCCAAACCTGAGGCTTGATCCAGAGGGATAATTTTTGAAATTTTTTGTACAAGGTTAGGTGCTCATTACAATCATGCACAGTCCATGAGTAATGAAGAAAATTTCAAAAATGTATTTTATTTTCAATATAAGAACAGCTTAGCCACACCCTGGAGCCTGAATGTGCCAGGGGCCATGAATTTCATTTTTGGTAAAGTGCTTAGTGTAATTCCAGCAGTTCGTCTGCCAGCTAGATGTCCGTGAGTAAATAAGATTTTCAAAGGTGTGGTGTATTTGACCAGCTAAGCCCCATCCTGAGGCCTAAATAGTGGACCAGCAGGCATTAATTTTATAATTTTGGTAAAGGGTTAGTAATGTTTGAAATCTTGCAACCAGTTGTGCTGGAAAAAGACGGTTTTTGCATTAATTCTGATGGTTTTGGACATACCTGTCTGCCCCCAAGAAGACCAAGACAAATGAAAGGATGTATTCATTATTACAAAAGAATTGACCTATAGGAGAGAACAATTTCCCGGAAAAAGTGACATTTAAAAACCAATCTTTATTTGTTGTTTTCTACCGTATATATGTCTAAATTTTTCAAATTTGAATTTTACAACTAAAATTTATTATTTACAACTTCACAATAAACCTCCAAAGTTGGCCGAAACACCATTTTGTCCGTTAAAGCGTTGATTTTTGCATAAATTTTGGCCTAGAAGTCCTTCAGGGCAGGCCTGCCCCTAAATAAAATTGTGATATTTTGATAGGTTGGGATGTAAGGAATAATTTAAGATAGGATTTTTTTAGGGGCACCCCTGCCCTAGGGTCGAAATTCACAAAAAACCTACAAAAATAAGTAAACTTGATTTTGACAATCTGCTTCAAATTTATACTGTTAAATCTTGTAGTCAGAATAGCTCATTTGATATATACGCTGACTTTTATATCGTGGGTACTTTATTTTTAAAGTCGGGGGTTCGAATCCACCTATTGCCACACTTTTATAGTTTTAAATTTTTGCCTTTTCAAAGACTATTTTAATTTTTTATAGGCTTGTGTATGTTTCTTCAATTATCTATCCTTTATGCATTCCCATTTTTGATATAAGAAACACTAGAGAGAGAGATTAAATCATAACAATTCATTGTACAGTTGTCAGTCAGGCAGAACAACTCTCAGTATAGCACACTTTCTCCGAGGACAAGAATAACTCGCTCTGTGTTACTCGATACAGGTATTCTCGGCAGCATTGAGCTGCGATGAATTTCAATTGTATATATTCCTTAGAATTTAATCACATTGCTTTTATTCTGTCTGTGCTACTAATGCATGGGTTACATGTAGTACATGAATGTTACGTATTGCTTGAATTATTTGAGCTTAATATATTTAGAATAACATACATGTACTTTTGTTTTCAGTCAATGTTTTAAGATCTTAAGTTTTGAAACAGTAGGACTACATATATCTGTAACTGTACTCCCTTGGATTTCATTTAGGCCCATATGATTTGCACACATTAATTGCATGTTTTTTTTATATCCAACTGAAATGTGTTGTAAAATAAATAGCCTAGACATAAAAAATAGAGTTCCAGAGACAGTAGACATTACCATTATGTACAATGAGAAGTAAAGAAAAATATCAATTATTACATTTGGAGATAAACTCAGAATATCAATGAAAGTGTTCCTCCTACCTCTACTCACTGAAATAAAGATTTATGAAAAACAAATTGTTACATGTATTCAGCCTAATGTCATTAATCGGAACGGAAATCGACAAGCTTTTTGTAGAGAAAAAACCAAGCCTGGCCCTATAGGTCAGATCCCTATTTATACAGAAGTGAACCTTTGTAATTTTTGTTCCCCTTTACTCACAGATAGTATTGACCAAACACTGGTTGATGGTTGAATTGGTTCAACTGTTACAAAATGCCCAAAAGTTTATGACTGTAGCACAATGAATGAAGGGGCACAAAACAGATGGCAACAGGTCACCTGTGTTACTCAGGTGACCTGAAAAGTGAAATTCTGTACTGATCTGGTTATTAGAGAAATAAAACATAGATATGTCAACAATTTACTTATATGATTTAAGTATTGTCTGTGCAGTAACCAATTTATTTATTTATTTTTTCTTGCATACAAATTTGTTTTATACTGGGTAGATCCTTTTTAGGACATTGATATTGTGTATGCACTCATTCTCTGTACTTTCAAAATGCTGGATACATGTATATGCATTATAATTTAAAATTATTTGCAAAAGTATATTTGTGAATATGAAACGCTAATGTAGAGCAAGGAAGAATTTCACTGGTGAAGGAGAGATAACCTCAACATCACTGAAGAAACTGCAACATAATGATAGCCGACTCACTGTTTAGCTACTCATAGTATTTTAAGGCATTCTTTTTCTATATGAGTTATACGTACATACACAATTCTCATACCAACTGAAATACATTGACATAAACATGAATGTTGGGTAAATTTTCTTCATGTCACCTATTTATAAGCAGTATCAAGATTCTTAACAATAGCATGTACTAGTTCACCATAGTTTTCATTATGCAGAGGTTCATAGCTAAATATCTTGCTTACTGACATCAGAATCTGAAAGTTAATCTGTTCCATTATAAGCATAAAAGTGAAAATGTCCTTCACAACTATGGAAAATGTGACAATACATGTCATTCAAACAATAAACATTTATTAGTTATCAGAATCTAAAAATTATTGTGGAAAAAGGTTGCAAACCAAAATATCAAAAAAATTATACTGTAATATATGAAGTATGAAAAGACCCTAGCAAAACAGTAACCCTAAATATACCCTAAACTTTATGGAGAAGCTTGAATATCATTGGGAGAATCTAGCATTGAAGCTTCTTCAGACAAGTTTTACTTATGATTCATCAGTTTGAAACTCCATCTGTGGCTATTAATTTTTGCAAAATGAAATGAGGAAATACTCTTCATAACTAGATGTGATTTTACAGTACATTTAAGTTTTGATTCCATGAAATTGTGACCCCATGGAAAGAAAAGTACGTTTACAGAAGTTATTTCCCATAAAAACCTCCCTAACACTTGGGAATGTGGTGAGCTGTAAAAAATATTCAATGACAAGATTTGCATATTTAGAAAAGGGACTTTACAGGGATCGACATTAACGGTTGTCCGATTGCCCGAGACAAGTAAATTCTCAGTCGGGCAAGTGAAACTGTCAACTTACTTGTCCGATCGGGCAAGTGAATTTTTCTGATAGAAATGTATATTGGTATCTAGTTTACATTAATTGTAAATAAAACAATAGATTGAACACGAGATTTCCGCCAGATACGTGACTGACATTGCTCCCTTGGATTTCTAGATTATATTGTTCATTAAAAATCGGGTTCGTTATTCTTTTTTATTTCATGTTAAGTACGCTCTACATATTACAACTTTGTTAACTACTTAATTCATTCACACTGACAGAATATAACATGACCTATCCTGATCAAGATATGTATGTTTCATTGCAACTATCTTCCTTAGCGTTGCATCAATCAAAATTCACAAAACAAAACGATCCTACCCAAAATGATTTTTTATTAAAAAGGAAACAGATGGTTATTGATGCATTGCAGTGTGTGTTTACAGATTAAATTGACAAGGAAAGTGGCAGTATACATTTATGTCCAAACGTACCATCTAAATTTTTTCAGGTACCTCAACTTGCCAGATTTATAGTAGTGTATCTGTTCACACTTTTACATATCATAATATGTACGGCAATAAATTATTTTCCTATTTGGGCAACCAAGTTTTGCATTCGGACAAGTCAAAATTTCAGATCGATTGCCCGAAGGGCAAGTGAATCTGAAAGTTAACGTCTATCCCTGCTTTATGTCATGAAACATTGTGAATTCTCGTAAATTTCCTCTAATTCGTGTATCCCCAAGTTTAAACTCCATGTTCCAGGAGCATAAAACTTAGATGAGCTCACTTTTCATCTCTGTCTCACTTTTTCACAATAAATTCCTTTTATAAAAGTGAGACTAAAATCAAAAAAGAGTATGTCTAAGTTTTATGGCCCCAGAGCAAAGTCTTCAACCATTTGCATATTTAGGAGTTTGAACACTTTTTGTAGTAAATTATCTATATACTGTATTTTTTAATATCTTTACCTGAAGT